TTTTCTTTAATAAAAAATTGTGTTAGCAGCTACGATGTTTTCTCAGAAAAAGTGTTCGTATGTTATCGCACACAAGGAATTGAATGGTGAAGGTCACAGGTTACAGGAAGCAATGGTATCCCCAAAAAAACAAAATGTTGGGTGTGCACATACTTTTGAAACACACTGTACAGCGCCCATTCATAGCTCGGGTCGTTGAAAGTACAAGTTACTTTGCTATCTAAGAATCACCACGTGACCAAATCAACTAACGAGAACGAGAACCCGTGAGAAATAATTTTTTCGAAGTGTAGCAGAGCCAAAAAGAGCGCGGAAATGGAAGGAATTCTGAAGAAGAAGCGATCAATTCTTCGGAAATCGACCGAATCGCAATCTTTTTCGCCGAGTATGGCCACTAGAAACGATAGAACCAAGTCGTGGATGTTGCCTAGGAAGGTAGTACGATAAAGTGCAGCTATATAAAATATAACTACGATAAGAATAACGGAGAAATTTGCTGAGAAACTCGCTTACGCTTGTTCTAGGATACGTCTGCTGCAATCTACAGCTGAACAATCTTATTGAGGACACGTTCGAAATGATCAAGACTAAGCAAAGCCACAGCGATTGCAACATTGCACGAATGGCCAATATCATTCAGGTACTTTACCAGTAATTGCTGTGATCAGGACGAAATCCGTCGGACAGTCAGCTGTTAGAATGGAGATCGATCAGTGCATACGAGAGCAAAAATACTTCTCATTTGAGATTGTGCAGCAAGAAAGAAACAGTGCAATCCTTTGCAACTCACTGTAGTCATCATCATCTATTAATTATTATTTAGTATTTAAATGAATACTGCTAAATTATTGGAAATATTTCCGTGCCCCCAAGTGCCCAAGTTCGCTTATTTTCGTGGTGACTAATTCGGCAAATAGTTTCATTAGTCACATACACCAATCCTACCAGTGGCCGTCACCTTCAGATAACCCGAGCTTTTTGCCTTCAAGTCGAACGATCGTATTCTGTGGACTCGACTTTTCAAGAGAAACAGAACGAAATGCAGAATTTCCTGCAAATCTTCGGCCTTATCTCGGTGAACTTGATAAAAAGTCATTTCGATTCGATAAGCCTTTCAAAAATTCAACTCTTTGTGAGCACTCAAGTCAAACCTCGCTTTGTGTGAGCAACTCTAAAAGTCCGTTCTCCAGTAACAATTCGATTTTGAAACGAACTGCTGCTGTACTTGCATATTACTGCGAGGAATTTCAGCCGAAAACATTCCCCAAAAGAATGATCACAGGTCCGTAATTTTTAATTGTTTCAGCAAAAAAGTGAAGAAATGTTCGGGCATCCCTTCGAAAGTGTCGTCGCTTTATCGGATTTTGCACAAAATGTTCACTTTGCCGGTGATTTGGTTTGCAAGGTCGAAATAGATGGCAAGTGAGTTCTACCACCTTTGCACTTCAGCTTGGACCTCTTCCAAATTCCAAAGCAACCACAAAACTTCGCTGTCTATTTTACAAATGTGGAATGAAACTCTGAAGTAACAAAGGAAAGTGAAAACAGACATTGTCTTGCCGAAATCACGTGGGACTTCACAGGAACCCAAAGCATTCGCTTCAAATCTGTGATGAACAGAGCGTAACGGGGCTAGCGCTTGCAAAAATGTTCAACTCAACTTCGAGAAAGGCTACATAGGTTCATCTAGTCACCAATTACTCATGATAGCATATGTTATAAGCAGAAGAGAAACGACAGGTCCTTGTAAAGGGACATTTCTATGCCGCTGTACTAGATTCTCATGAAATATCACATCCCAACATCACTAAGAATCTGGATAGGGTTGGGAAGGGAATGGCGCAACCCAAGAAACCTTAAAAGTTTTTGCTCTCACTTAGCACGTCATGACGTTTAGGTATATGCTAACGTATGCGACACCGTATGACGCAGAACATGCAGTCGAATCTGTGGACGTTATCGAGGATGTTCCTCTTGAAGAGAATGTTCTATCCAGGAACAGTGAGGAGGAGGACAGCGATGGAAAGATTACGAAAAAACCTAAGAAATCAGTAAAACCGAAGAAGAAACCACTACCTATCCATAATTTCCGAATGTAATAATATTATCATTTACAATTTATCATGGATAATAAAGAAGAAGAGCTTATGCGCAGAGCCTTACTAATAAAGATTGCCAAGAGTTGTTTCGTGGATCAAAGTAAAAGGTTGTTAATCATAACCTGATTCTGACAGAAGAAGTTGTAGTTGTCAGAAAATAAATCCATGATAAATTCTCTACCAGGAATTACAAATGTTTGAAAAAACCTTAATATTTTTTGAAAATGAAATATTATCTTCGACAAGGTCAAACTTCAGCGGAGGCGAGAACACAATAAAAAGAAGACTTACTAAAGCTTTTTCACTTTGGACGGGAGTCAAGAATCATCCAAGAAAAGCAGTTGCAAGAGATAGAGCTTGTCACCTACACAGCCAGTAAGTATAGTCTAACTAAGAGGTTGACAAAATTGTGAAAGCACAAGGATAAATTCTTCAAAACTAATCAGTCCTTTTCATGGGATGCGCCCTGCATTCGACTTACGTTCGGTATCAAAGTGGGGTCTTACTGCGAATGTGGCAGACCTGCGAAGGCCGTGTACAATTTTTGATGTTTTCATCTTATCAAACGGGTGTACACCATTTAACCGACGGTGGAGGGTCGGAACTCTGAGTTACTCTGAGCGTGCAACTATGGATGTGATAGTGTGCCTTGACTTGTTTTTACATCCCTCACATATACCAAAAGTAGTGGTAAACATGGAATTGTCCTCTGGTTTATTCGCGAGCCCTCATTCTATTGTTGGAAGCGCTCGACATCGTATAGTTGTATGCGATTGCCTAAGCCAACTATGCATTCAAACGTTTCAGCGATTTCCTAGGAGACCTGCTGCATGACATTTCCTACGGAAGTCGATAAACATGGAGCCGTACTCTCCTACAATGGCCAAGATGGAGAGCTTCAAGCGATTTGTAAGAGCAAAAGAACGATAAGACCAAACTGGAAATATACATATACATAAAAATATAATGGGTTCTGAAAAAAAAGACTCACCTACTTTTCCCTACTGCTACGTCTCCAAACTTCACTCGCACAAATGTACAAACTTCAGAAAGCTCGTTGAAGAAAGAGAACAGGAAGTATATTCACCGAAGTACGGGTAGCCTCTGCAACTGGCTCTGGCTTTTTTGAGTCTCATGCGATTCCCTGCGTGTGGGCTATTCCTGAGTGAGGTTTCCTACAGTTTCAAGTCTCCTGGTTTCTTGAAATTTTTTACCAGTGGCAAACTGACTCCAAACACAACCTCCTTCTCTCATACATTGGAGTCATCGAAATGACTCCAAAAGGTAAAAACATCTTTTACCTCGTCATCGGAGCAGGACGACGGCTGAATGAGTGGAGACCGTACTTCGAGTACAGGAAGAGGTGAGTTTGCACGACTTCTGGCCAGAGTACAATAAGTAATGTTAGGTATATACTCTGAAGCTCTGAAAAACTTGAAAGAGTACTTTTGAACCAAAGAATGTGTAGGAACGTTAAGCAAGAGCCTGAGCACATCTACAACATCACTTTCTAAAAGCATAGCGACTTTTGATATGACCTGTATATTGTAGAACAGCGACAGCCTCTACAAATTACATTGACAGAAATGAAAAACATCCCAAAAGGACAGTTATCGATTGTTCTGGTGGTTGGTGCCATAAAAAATGAGCAGTCGTCTTGAATACTTATATATTACAAAGCCCTGATTTTGGGGATAGCCTGATTTATTGCCCTCCGTCTTGGCCCTACAGAAGCTGGAATGATACCGACTATCCCAAAGACGCCCCCAGCTACTCGGATTTTGATATAAATACCGTAATCCGTTGGCGCAATGCTCAGTGGCCAATCACCCACAGTGCATCCCGGACAGCTCCGCCCAAACTCCAATGCACCCCTGCCATTTAATTGACTCTTTTCAACTGCTCAAGCTAAGTTTTCCAGAAACAAAAACATCACAGAAACCTCAGCTTAGGAGGTACGTTGACCATTCTTTTTTACAACATAGACATCCACACGACGAAATCACTTCATTTACAGAGAATTTTAAAGAAAAGTTACCCTAAAAACGACAATATTACGAATAAATACGACAATATACCCGTCGTGTAGTTGAAAGAATTCAGCAATCCTTAGTCCATCAAAAGAAGTTGGTAAAAGGACTGTTCATATTAACAGTTGTAAGGGCCATGTTCTCACAGCTTTACAATCGCCAATTATGCAAATTATGAGCATACCTACATATATTACTTTTAAATTTTACAAATTATTAATCAATATCTTAGGCAGTTAAATCAGGTTTACGTTGTGTCATGTTAGTTTTTGCTGGAGACGCCAAATTGAAATCATGTGTATCTTTCTGAGTCACATCCTCTTCATCGTCATCATATAAGTCTGACTGGGATGGCATCACAGCATGGGATAGTTGAGGTGATCGCATTCGATAGAGTAAATCATCGTAGGCACGAATTTCATCCTGATGAAGATGATGTATGGAGATAAGATCCGGTGCGATCCAATCGTGTCCCTGAAAAGTAATCAACATTCTCCCACGTCATTTTGAGTCAAGGGAAGACCACGCAGGGGATGTTGGATTGCAATCCTAGAGGGGTGTAAAGCTTTGTTCGTGTGGGGCGCCGATCCGGGAATCAGATCCTGGATTATACTCGTGTGACAGACCCATCTCGCAATCCTCCAACATTTTTCCACGTTCCGAGCTCCCAAAGAAAAGACCAAGGGATGAAGACAAAGACGGTCGCTTTTATATTTTATCTACTTGCTCAATATGTCCACGCAAACATACCAAACTCATAAGTTGGAGGTGGAGAGGTGTCAAGTGGTGCTATGTCACACGCGCGTAATCCGGGGACCAATTCCCGGATCGGCGCCCCATACGAACCAGGCCTTATATCCCCCTAGGGGTGGTTCTTTGCTACCAAATTAGTCAGGGAAAGTTGAAGCACTGACTTTTACATAAACTAGCACTGCAGACAATTGCATAGGCAACATACTTACTTCAACACCACTACAGTTTCGAATTGAAGACAAAGACAGGAGCGCATCCCCAAATAGGTTCCTTTTGAATCACTTTTTACCTTTGATCAAATTCTACTGGGTGTAGTACAGAAAATGGAAGAACCAAAACTTGCAGAAAAATTCAGTACTCGAAAAAGATTAGGTGAAAAAAGAGGAAGTAAAAGAATAAGTCTAAAATATTTTCTCACATTAATTTGAGGATAGTAATGCCATTCATCCAATACTTTGCCATGGAACATGTCGTCTGGTCGATAGGTATGAAAACGTTGTTGACCATTTTCGTTTCTCGTGTCATGTGGGTATATTTCGATATTTTGGAGGCATCTGTAAAGGTATGAAACTCAGCAGTTTCTTAGCTGTCTAGTAATCTTCACTGACCTGCCTAGACCAACATCTTCAGATGAATCGAACGGGCAATTTGTACGATCGTGGAAAGCTCGGTCGATAAAGAGCTTTAATGCGGCACGACTTAGCACGTAACCAGCGCCGCCACCATTGTATCCACGTTTCTGAACATCATATAAATACATTGAACAGGTACACGGTACGGTACGTTCATCCCGGATCCGTGATTTCGCGATGCTGCGAAAACTGGATAGTTGTCTCGCTGTGCGGTTGTGCAATCTCCGTTACGAAAACAATCTCCGTTACGAAAAAGAACACATCGACATTCGAGCGGTAAAGATCGTAACAACAGTTCATAATTGAAACATGCGAGAACTCGGAATTGCATACGCGTTGCTCTTCTCGTGGTAAAGTTCAGATGAATGCATGTGGTTGCTTCTTCGAAGGGGAAGCGGGTAATGGTGAAAAAGTTAGCCAACACTTTTTGGCAGTGTT